ACGTTCACCCCGCTGTACATCAAGATTAAATATGTAATCAGTTCATCTGCATCTCTTCTCTTCCAAATCATTTCTCACTCGGAGGATATAAATTCCAAAAATCATCGAATAATAGAAATGCATTGGTGAGATCGGTCGGCCAAACACGAAGCATCTTTGGCCGAGTTGGTTAAGGCGCCGTCTTAAGGCGGCGGTTCCTTCGGGAGCATGGGTTCGAGTCCCATAGGATGCATCATCTTTTGCGATATCACTCGAAATTATCATTTTATTCTTTTTAGGTCGTGGTTTCCGTTAATTTGAGATCGACACGATCGGTGACGATTGCCTGATCATCATCTTCAAACACTTTCTATCTCCATCAGATTCATATTGTCTCTTTCACTGGCGATGCTGAGGGGTGTGAATCGTAGTTGGAGATTGAAATGATTCCATGCTGGAATTCTCCCGTCACTGCAGAGACAGCTTTTCCTTTCGGCGTGGCAGTTCACTTCTTCGCCGCCATCTGCCGAATTAGTGTTGTTAGCGTCATCGTCATCAGTGACGGTGCTCTCCTTCGCAGGGTGTCTGGTGGGTTGTTGGCCTTTGGGCAATTAAGTCGATTGCTCTCTGACTCCTTCTTTGCCAATGGATCGTGGGTTGTGTTGCTGTTGTAGCTGGCTTTGATGTTCCATCAACAAAGTTTCTTCTGTGTAACAAACAAACAACACACGCTGAGAGAGCGACCAATTGGCCAATTCAGTCTCGCAAGGATGAACTGCCTCTATCTGAACACGACGAGATTGAATCATATCACAAGTATCATAAGACGCGGATGCAAACGTCGGATAACTTCTAGAACTGATAAAAGTAGGACGCTCTATCATCGACGGTGAGAACAATTCTGATGGTGATGGGATGAGTTCTAACATCGATTCATGTTTTCAATCTCCGAACAAAAGGTTTGAAGGGTATCAAAGTGATCGTTGCAAACGATCCAACGAATTTGCGGCCGATAGTCGGTCCCTCTCAGGGTGGAAATGGAGACAACATTTGATATGAGGTTTGAGCTGAAAAGTCAAAGACGGAACCTCCAATGGATGGGAACGAGACCTCTTTAATCGTGTTGATAAATTGTGTGTATGTCCTTGTTGAAGCGTGTAATCTACGATGAGTTCTGATTTCGATAGAATTTCGATGCAACAGACGGTCGGAGACTCAAAAGAACATCCTCTCCGACAACGTAATGTTGAACAAGAGAGAGCCAGATTGATGCATCCGTTATTTGTTGGCGCAGTAAAAAGTAGCACAATAAAAAGATGGAGAAAGAAACTGCCGAATGCTCTACATGCGAAACTTGATTAACCCCCAGATAAACAACATTTGCAAAACCGGCTAGATGACTGCAGTCAAGCAGACCAGCATAAAAAAAGTCTTCAACGGGGGGGGGGGAAGAAACGATAACATCTTAGGGAGGGTAGCAGGTCATTGATGATACTTTACCCAGGTGTAGAATCACCTGGGCTACACGGTGGTGTATTTTGTTTTTTCGTCTGGACGTTTGTAACAGAGAAAAGTCTCAATGTACGCTTTTTATTTTGGGCGTCTTGGCTTGGTTTGATCTGAAGATCAAATGGACAGTTTACAAGATGCATTTTTCTGTCGCACTACAAAATCATTGCAGCAAACCCTTGGGTCCTCTATTTTGACCAGAAGCCATATGATTCTGAAGATCTCTTGTTTGGCAACTTTATGAGAGAGATTTCGCACGCCATCTTGGACCAAAGAGAGAGCAGATGACCTTACAGCACAATAAATTGAGCCCCTGGCAGGGCTATTTTTTAGGTCCTGGCAGAGATAATAATGAAGATATCCGTAGAGCTGATTGTAGAAGACGAGTGCTTGAGCAGACTAAACACGTGATCATCATCTCCTCTCTCTCATTGTGACTGCAAGATGAAGCCAATTTCCAAGGGACACATCTCATCATTATCTTCTATTTGACGTTGATAGCATGTCCCAAAACTTAGATTCCTTCTGTCCAGCAGCGTTTGGTCCTTCACAAGTTTCCGCATGCTCTTGTATCTTGTGGGAGGATACAAAGCCACAGCCCATGGGGCACTGTCTGAGTCCAGTGAAGTGCATGAGGTGCTCTAACGTCTGTCGGTCTTCATCTCTCTGCCGAATGGCCTCAGCCAGCCTCGAGTGCATGTCATTCCTCTCTTCTTCCCACTCGAATGCGACCCTCTGTAGCCTCTCTTCGTGTAAGATCAATTGATGCTCTGCCAGTGACTTTTGCTCCTGACGGATGAATCAATTTTGGTTCGTTGTAGATCAAGTTCACCATGGCCTCGACTAGACCCTCTGACATATTGTCTTGTGTCTCATTCAATTGCAACCTCAGTCTCTCCACTTGTCGGTTCAACTCCAAATTGACTTTCTGCAGGCTGGCCATGTGTGAATCGTGAGCCATTCTCTCTTCTTTCCACTCCTTCTCCTTCTTCTTCCATTTTTCTTCTGATTCCAGGTGTTGTGATTGCACTTGCGAGTGTTCTCTCTTCTCTTTGTCGTGTGCCGTGGTCAGCAGATTGAGTCGTGACACTTCTTCCTTTGATTCGGATAATTGTCTTGTAAGATTCTGTGAAAATTCAGGGAGTGTGGAGGCGGTGGACCCACTTCAACTTGAGACTGGAGGACTGAAATCTGCGACTTCGACTCCGCGAGCAGCTCTTGCTGACGGAGAATGTTTCTCGAAATCTCCTCGAAATTTCTCTCCTCGTCTCTCGTTTTCTTATCAACAGCACCGTCAACAATGTTTAGCATCCTCCCCACGTTGTGCCTCGAATTTTCTCTGAAATCTCTCCTCCTCTTCATCTCAGCTCGCAGTTCATCGTGTGATGGTACTACGTCTAATAATTTTCCCTCCATCTTCTTGATGAGTTTACCGAGAAGTTTCATCCTCTCTTCTCTGTCGTGCATCTGCTGTAAGAGTTGTTGGTTGTTGTTTCTCATGTGTAACATGGTGCGAATGTGATGGACGTTCCTTTGCTGGAGAGGATGAGCATCTGCAACGGTGTAGATGAAGTGGATCCCACCTTTCGGTTGACTAAACTGACGTAGGACTTGTAGATGGAGGCACAACCTTCTTCTGATCTCTCTAACGAGTCACAGTGATGATATACCACAGCTGAAAATCGATAAATGAAAGGATGAATCATGATATAGATATCGTTCTACAATTCGTCAGCTCACCTTCTACTTCTCCGCCATTCTTCCATCTGTCTTCAATCTACAACGATCTCAGCTCCACGCATCGTGACACAACGTTCACCATGTTCTTTCTGTCCCTTCTACACTTTTGTAGATCGTTCTCCAAATGATCCAATATCTGTTTGAATTGACTCCTCTTCCTATTCTCTTCCTCCATCGATGTTCCAGACTGTCTCCTCCCGTTCGTCACTTCACTTCTCAGCTGAGTCCACTGTCCCAAACTATCGAAAGCTGCCAGGAGATTTGCTGAAATTTCGTGTTACGTACGATAAGATGAGGGAGATCACATCGTTGATTGCGGATGGCGTTGTAGATGTCTTGAATCTCTTGTGGTGATTCTATGATGTCCCACAGTGTCTTCCGATGAGTCCCAATCAACTGAGGTTCCAGCGGTGTTTCTTTCAACTTGAAGATGTCATCCGTTGACATCTTCAAGTTGAAACCCACCGAATCGACGATGGTGTTGTAGTGAGTGAGGATGTACGAAGCTTTCTTGTCCAAATCTGTAAACGATCGAGTCTGACTCGTTTTCGCGGCTTCCAATCGATCTTGAAGCTCGAGATAGCTTCAGTCACCTCTTCCATCGATTGTCTCACCCTCTTGATGTTCTCCGATAATACACCCAACCCCACTCTCTGTTGATCTACAACGACGGCCGTAGATCGATGGGCTGAGGCATGAAAGTTTGCGTTCTTCTGCAACCTTTCTAATCTCTCACAGCAGAGTGACATCCATCTGACCCCTTCACTGACGTTGACGGGGTGGGGTGGTGGTGGTATTCGTATCGAGTTTTCCGGGAGATTTCCTTGTACGTCGGGTTTCGGATTGACGTCCGATTCCGGCTGTGGACGTGTCATCTACAACGTTGTGTGATATCGCGTGTGATATCGTGATGGTGGTCCTCACGTTGAAGTGGAAGAGGATAACAGCTCCCTTACTATTCTTCAGATTTTCTTCGTTCTCACGATTCAATTCTGAACCTCGACCGTCGTCTAATAATAGAATATCATATCTATCCTTCCATTGCGATATCTTCGTTACGATATCATCCAGACTATCGTTCCGTCGGTATTCACATTTCCGAGAATTTTCACCTGAAATGAAACGGAATTTTCTCTACCTCTCCCTCCTCTGCCTTCAATAGGCTCCTCTCGTTTCTACACAAGAAAGGATGAACCTTCAGCTGTTGTAGATTGATCCTCTTATTCGGCTCCACTTGCAGTAACTGATGGACGAGAGACAGACAATTCTTACTCATAACACTCTGCACCGCAGGGGGCAACGATATCGAACGCTGGTGGAGGGTCAGGAGCGGCTCTGAACATTTCGAGAAAATTCTCACTCGGTGGGCCTCCTTGAGGTCTACGTTGGTGCGAAAAGGCTTCTGAGCGGTGATCATCTCGAAGATGATGAGACCGAGGGACCACAGATCAGCTCGTGTGTCGTATCCTTCACCCCTCGCTAATTCAGGTGCCTGATACATAGTAAGTACCGAGCTGATGATGATGATGGTGATGGTGATCGCGTCATGTCAGGCGATGAAGAGAAGACCACCATGTAGTAGGGTGTTCCTAGAACAGATTTGACCATCTCTCCCACTTCAAAAGTCCTCGATAGACCGAAATCTATGACGATCATGAACATCATACACATCAGATCTCTGCAAATTCTCACCGCAGATCTTTAAATCAGCCGTCGAGATATCGTGAGATGTCATCAGTACCTACGATCGTCACCGACACGGACATCATGATCGTCTTACGTTTGCTGGTTTCAGATCCCTGTGGACGATCCCCTCTTGAGCGAGATAGCCCAGAGCAGAAGTCAATTGGGTCACGCACCGTGACAGTTGCACTTCGTCGACTGGCTCCTTCTTCTCTAAAAAAGTTTGAAGACTGCCGCCTGCACACATTTCCATGATGATGAAAACGTATTCTTCTCTGGTATATTCTCTTGTCTGTGAGAGATTAGATCTCAAATGGTGTG